CCCCATCAGCTCTCATAATGCCTGGCACACTGTAGACATTTAGTTAATATTTGAATAAATAAATGAATGAATAAAACTTCTGGGTGGTGAAGGACATAAAGGATGTTCAGTGTCAGGCAGGGAGGAAAATTTCAGGACAAGGGAATAATAGGTAGGAATGAACAAATTGTGTTCAAGAGTTCCAGGCAGGTTAGATCAAAAGAGGATCTAATAAAACATGGGATAGATCGGCTGAGAGTGACAAGATGATGGTTTTAGCAGTCTTTGAAATTTTAGTTGAGATATTAAAGTTCTTTAGTTGCTGTTGAGTTATTATAGATACCTGGACAGAGGGCTACAAGTTGGCGTTTTAGGAAGGCTTTTCAAATAAGAATCTTAAGCTGGATTGGAGTTTGGAGAGCCTGGGGGCAGACCACCAGCTAGAGCAATACAGCAGTGGTCCAGAGAAGAGATAACACAGTGTGACCTAAATCCAGGCAAGAGAGAAAAATAATCATGAGAAAAGGAAAAGGCAATGACAGTGGAAGTTAGAAAGAAAGATGGATTGAGGAAGCAGTTAGGAAGAACATCAGCAAAACACTGAGGAAACATTGGTTGTGCACAGGAGGAAACACTGGTTGTGCACAGGAGGAAGGGGGCTGTCATTTACTGTACCAGGGAGGTTTGGCATGAAATTACTAAGTAGGGGGAGGCAGAGTGGTCAAGTCTAGAGGTAGATATTTCTAGAGGTAGATAAAGTATCATATAGGTGGTAGGACAAGCCCTTTGAATCAGCAGCTCCACCCACAGGAGGACCTTTTCTGCGATTATGCAGAGAACATTTGAGGTTCCTCTTTGTCTATTCCAGAATGCAGTCTTGGCTTTACTTTTTCATAACCAAAAGGCTTATTAGAGTTTTTTCCCCCAAACAAAAAGGTCAGTCTGTCCTTAAAGGTAAATTCCCATTGCCTCTACTTCTTCAGGAACAGAAGAGCTGCTGGAAGCTTTAGACTAGCAGTTTATCCTCACTTCCAGTCATGAAGGTTTCAGAATATTGGGGTTCATTTTGGTAGTGCCAATCAAATTTTTTCATGTGCATGTAATTTGACCCTGCATTTTCACTTCTAAGAATCTATGCTATCGAAATGCTCATACAAATATACAGAGCAGCATTGATTGTAATATAAAAAAATTATAAACAATTTAAATGTATGTCTGTTGGGATATGACTGAATAAATTATTGTCTGTCCATAATATGCAATACTGTGCAGCTATTATAAAGGACGAGGTAGATCAATGTGTACTGACATGAATAGGTTTCCATTATATATCAGAGAATGAAAAAAGCATGTGAATCTATGTGAGTTGTGAGTGTATGTAGATAAATGATATATACATGGAAGTAAGTCTGGAAGGATACATACTAAAAATCCTAACTGGTTACTTCTGTGTAGTGGGATGGGGAAATGATACAGGAATGTCCAAAGAAAAAAGTTAAAGATTTTAAAAAATCATGTGCTACTTTTATAATTTAAAAAAGTGTAAACTCATTAGATTTCTTTGCAGGCACATTGGACAGAGGTTTCTTTTTTTTCTTTTTTTGCGGTATGTGGGCCTCTCACTGTTGCCTTTCCTTTCCCGTGGAATTTGCAGTTGTATTGCCAATTTTTTTTTTTTTTTTTTGGAGAGCTTTCCAACCCTCTTGTCCTAACTTCCTTTTGAGACAGGCTGCAGGGTACTTACCTTATCTTTTCCCTGAACTAACAAAACAAAACGAAACTCAATTCTGTAATCAAGACCAGCAGTTTCAAATTTTATTTGGCATCGGAATTACCTTGATGCTTGTTAAAAAATACAGATTCCTGGGCCCACTCAGTAGGTTCTGAGTCAGTGTATCGGGGGTAGAGTCCCAAATCCTGATCTTTCAGAGGCACCCCAGATGGTCAGTGAGAAATCCTGTTTCGGGGAATGATGTCTGATTGTCCCCTACCCCACCCCGTTTTCTCTCTGTGATTAGTAAAGAGAATGAGGGAGCAATGAGTGACTCACCATGGATATCTTTGTGGATCACAAATGGTTGGGTTCATATGAATGGGGAAAAAATGAATATAACACAGTTTAGTAGGCTTGAGATTTTAGTAATAAGTGTTGTTTCTTTAAAATAACCTGTTTGAAGTAGGCCTTTTGGATTAAAGAGGCTGGTCTGGTGGGCTTCTTAGGCAAAGACTTAGGCTTAGGAGATGCGTTCCAGCAACGGCTTTGTTATGAGCGGAAGGGGAAAAGAGGGACCTTGGCAAATTGTAAGGTCTTAGAATTCAGATGCTTTTTAGGTGAAGCTTTTGTCCTTGGAAAATGAGGCCTCTAATATTAAGATGAGGTACTATCTAAAGACTATTCTAAACAGCTTTTTGTTAGAATTATTTTTTTCTTTGTTATAAACAAAGTTTGTTAATCAGATGCCCACTGTGGGTTATTAACATCTCAAAAAGGTGTTTAAAAAACATATACTCCAATTGCTCCCAACAATTAACCTTGGGAACAAAAGCAAATGGAAATACTTCTTAACTACTTTTCCAAGCCCTCAGTGAAGCTGGCAGCCATCAGTTAAATAAACCATTAGTTTTATTAGTTTGAGAACAGAAGCATCGACTTGGGCAGTTTTTTAATCTGCTCCTCGTTTACCCAACAATCATTTATTCGGAGCCTACTTTGTGCCTACTGGACATTAGATAACTCTACAAATAAAAGGCAGAGACCGATGAGCAGCTAGAACTCTAAGGGGATCATCTGAATGGGGAAGAAGTGAATAAAACACTATTTAATAGACTTGAAAGCTTAGTAGCACATAGAAAACAGAAAGTGGCTTCCTTAAAGCAATAGCCTTGTTCTCTTTCTATAGTCTATTTTAAGTGGGCTCTCTGGCCCAGCGTTATCAACCTTGGATTAGGCGCTTTGAGGAAATGGTGGTTTGGCGGTTGTTTTTAAAGGGTTATTTAAGAAATGTAGTTACTAAGCAACTGCCATGACCGGCTGCTAAGTTGGAGTTCAGTGGGCAAGCCAATTCCAAAGAAGAGAATATATAAACAAGTTGGGAGAGGGGGAATATGGCTTAAGGATAGATTGGGTGGTGGTGTTTTTTTCCTTTTTTTTTTTAATGTGTTCAACGCATATTTCTGCCTTTTACTTATCTTGCTCAAGAAGGGGTTGCTTGGTCAGAAATCTCTTTGTCTCACTCAGTCTCCTTTTAGCCGGTGAGTGGGGAGGAGGGCCAGAAAGGAGCCCACTGGAGAGGGCTGGGCTGGAGGGCTGAGCCTTGGGGTGGGACCCACGCCTGGGCGGCTCTAGAGGTAGATAGCCCTGCTGCTGCGCGCTTGGGCCGTCCAGGGCTGCCATGACAGATCGGTCACCACCTTCTACCTTTAGATTGGGAAGCCTCATTGATATTGATGTGTTGCCTTCTAACCCACAGAATAGGGACATTGTCCAGCTGCTGTCTCTCTTTTTTTCTTTCCCCAACATTTAATGGGTGAGTCAGTGACTTAACTGCTTCCTGCAGGATTTCAGGGACAGGAGTAAGTAATGAGGACAAATCACGATAACACCAGTGCGTGATGAATGAAAGAGCACATGAGTTTAACCAGTTGGCTTCATTGGTACCAGAGTGAACAAAAAGAAACTTTGTTGAGAAGAGGATATTTGTATGAGTTAGAACCCTATTCGCTCCTGTTTAGGCTTTTTACTGTTTCCCTTTATACCCAGCTGAAGGTCAGTTTGCTTTGCTGAGGGAAGGGGAGTGTCAGGTGTTAGAACAGGTGGTTTGTTTTCTGCCTGTAGAGTCATACAGACTAGATGGAGATGCTTCTTGCCAGCCCTCTGTGGTGCATGAAAATGCTTTTGTGGAATTCTTTTTTCCTGGAAATGTGTTTGTTTTTTAAAGCAGTTCCCCAACCTTCAACCCCCAGTATAAATTGTGACTTCCTTTAAAATCAGCTTGTCATAATGAGGTATGCCTGTTTTCTACCGTTTTCACAGTCTGTGCCTTAGATGTATCCCATTTTATGTGGCAATTATAGACCTGAAAAATGTGCGGTATGTGTGTGTGTTTGTGGTAAATGTGAATATCATATTTAAAATGTGCTAGGAGAGTGTTCACAGCAAAGTAGCCCTGTAAAAAGCCTTTTATAATAATTGTATGGATAGAGTTAATTTTCCTATGTCAGGTTTTCTTACATCAGGTGTAAACCTGTAGTTACCTTTCCAGAATGATGAGGCTTTTTCAGACTGTTGTAATGGTGTCCGTGGGCTACAAAGTTGGGCATGGACTTATGACCCCCTGGCTAGATGGTTTTGGAGGAGAGAGATGTCAGCAGACTTCTGGGTTTGGGAGAATTTCTATTGTAATGTTCAATTGTTGCTGAAGCCAAAGACCCTGTTTGTTAAAAGGGAAATAATTCAGGAGAGCTTTGTGATCTTCTCTTCTGATTGTGAGGTTTGTTTTTACCTTTGTACTGCATTCCAGTGTCCCCCCTCAAAAAAACAAGTCATCTAGAAACAGATCATCTTCTTTGCCTAACAGTGATATAATGGCCTCAGGTCCTTTGCTGCCCCACCCCCCTGCATCTCAGGGCCATCTGTTCTCTGCAATCCACTTTTCGGGAAAGTCTCTTTTCCCATCTGCTCTCCTTGGGCCTTAGTGCCTGCTCTAAAGATTAATGAAGGCTGCACTGGAACCTCTTTCCAGTTGTTATTTTTTTTAAGGATCAGTGAGCTTTTTCCATTCGATATGTCCAAATGTTACTCCTTTTTCAGGTGTATTCTTTCATTCTACTAGTCTGGGAGTGGAGAGAAATCTTTCTGTGCATGGAGGAGGTACTCTGCTTATCAAAGCAAAGATTGACTGGGCTGGCTCTGGCTGCTTTGAAGCCAAGGGTCCTCCTGGCTCTTTGGCCGCTGGCACACAGGCTTGGTGCAACTCCTTGGGTTCATTCTTTTCTTGTCCTTTCCCTTGTCTCTCTGACAGAATACAGTCGCTTTGAATCGAAGATACATGACTTGCGAGAACAAATGATGAACAGCAGTATGAGCTCTGGGTCTGGGTCCCTGCGAACGAGTGAGAAGAGGTCCTTGTACGTCAGGTAAGTCTCACCTCTGAGCACCAGGCCTTGTGCTGCACGAGGGGAGCTCCGTGCCAACCCAGCCCTTCTTGTTTAACTAGTGGGGTAGGGAGTGTGTACTCCCAGTACTAAAACAACACTTTGCACTGTATGCTCAGGTTGTGTACTTTATGGTCAGTATCTCCTCCCTTTTGTGAGCTGGATTCTTCCTTTTTGCTCCTGAATGACTCAGTATGGGAAATTTTCAGTTTGCTCTAATTGTAAAAGACTGTTGGGTGATTGTTGCTATTCAGCATTCAGAGAGCACTCAAATGTTCAAAGTACTTTGCTTGCAATCTGTGATTTGAGGGGAAACTTGGCATTCCCCCCTTCTACATATGCATAATAGACATCAGAATTTGTATCCGAGCATATCAGCTATCACTGTGTTCTGGTACAGGGTCTCTTTTAAGAAACCAAAGAACTGACAGGTTGCTGCTTTCTGGGTTTTTTTTTTTTTAATTGTGTTCCCTCACTCCCTGTGCACTGGTCTGCTGGATCTGAATCATGGGACATGGGATGGGATGGTGTATCTTTCACAGGAAGGGTGGGTGGAAGGGATATATAGCATTGAGTGTATTGCTGCTGAAAGCTGTTCTGAGATATTGTCCAAGGCTGAGCTTTTGACCCTTGAGTCACATTATAATACTTTGTCAGGTCAAAGTACAAACCTCTTAGAGAGTTGGATTGCTAAATGAACACTATGGACTCCTCCTAAAATTAGGGATAGTTTCCTTCTTCCTGCTTTGGGCTTCTTGGCAAAACTCCAACAGTCTGGGGCAAGTACATTGTACCTCTCTCTCCAAGGGTAAAATCCTCAGAGAAAGAGGTGGTAGGATTACTCCTCTGAGCCGTGTGTGTGTCTGTGTGTGTGTCTGTGTGTGTGTCTGTGTGTGTGTCTGTGTTTAATGCTGGTATCAGACTCTTGGGTTAAACTTTTTCTAGTGGCCTCTGATACCGGCTGGAAGGTGGGGAGGGGAGGCTACAGTTGCTAGTTGCCTGGCAACGTGACATCTACTCTGTCCTTGGGGTTTGAGATGACATAGCCAACTGATATAAATGCTAATTGCAGTTTTTCTCTCCGGTGCTTGATTTTCTTTTTCCTCAGTTGCTAGTTCCTGACCCTCCTGCAGGGAGAAGAGCCAAGGGAGCCCAGATTTGAGCCTCAAGCCCACTAGAACCCTTCATGGTTCTTTTCTAAAATGAACCCTCAGCTCTACTCCCTCTGTGTTGAGAGCAGCTTTCTTCACATTTGTTGTGAAGAGAGGAGAGCGGGAGGAAGGCTGGACTAGTCACTGGTGATCCTTTCAGTCTCCTGTTTTCTGTCCCTAAGCCCTTGCTCTGGATCTGCAGCCTAGACACTGGGGTGCCAATGGGGGGACTCAGAAATATGCTGTCGCCTCCCGCAAAAGGGTAATAGTTATGTGACTTGGTCAGGATTGTTCCATTCCCGTGCTTCCAGCCCCCGCAGATGTGGCACTCCAGTGTGTGTGGGAAGCTGATCTTTAGGCAAGACAGTTTCTTTGGAGAGCTTTATTTCTAAATTTCCCCTCTCCGCCTATCTTGTGCTAGAGCTCTCCCTGCCTGGGCAGGGGGAGTAGGGCATCAGCTCTCAAACTGGAAGACCTGGAACACCCTTCTCTGGTCCTGGCAAGGGACGCATTCCGTCTGACCCTGGGGAGGAGGGTGGAGACTGCACTCTGTTTCTAGTGAATCAGTTTATACAGTTTATATCATCTGCCCTTAACCTTATGTAGATAACATCTGTATCCTCAGAGGAAAGTAAATATGGTTTAGAATAGTGAACATTTGTAATCACTAGAGTTCATCAAGGGAAATAATATTTTATGGGTAGATTAGCGAGCTGAGGTATTTCGCTAAGCTAACCCTCTACCAAAGCCTGAAGCCTGGCTCTCGCTCTATTGCTTTTTGTGCCTGTTTTTGGCCTTTTTTTACTCCACAGTAGCTTCCTTTTGTTCAGCATTTAAGTATATTCAAGGTTCTTCCATTCTTAATAAGGAAAGAAAAAAAATTCCCTTGATTACCAATAGTACCTTAAACTATTGTCTTGTTTCTCTTCTTCTCACCACATTTGCCACATTATGTGCCAGGAAACACTAGCTCCTCAAGATGTTAAGTATTGTGTGAAAAATCAGTGGTTCAGTAAGTTGGGCAAATGCAGGATTAAACAGAGGAAAATAGGGTTCTTTACTGTGATCAATCTCCAGGAGGGACTGTACTAGGCAGTGTTTCCCCCAAAGATAGGAGCATGGGAGCCTTATTTGGAGAAACTGGTCTTGGCATCCAGGCTGGGAAATATTGCAGTCGTCTGTACTTGCTGCTGCTATTTCTTCAAATTGCTTCTCTTTCAATAGGAAAGGAAGTGTGCATCTGCTTATCAGCATGGTGGTATGATTCCAAGCAACTCTGGAAGGCTCCAGAGGGGCAGAAGCCCAACTCTGTCAGTAGTGACTGGTTCGCTGATTCTCTGCCATTGGTCTGATCTCTTCACATTTGTTTCCGTGTACTACCGGCTTTCTTCTTTAAAGGCTCTCTTTCTACCTTGCTGACCATTCCTCAATACATTTCATTAGCTCTGCCCCATAAATGGCAATTTCATTTATGTTCACAGCTTCAAATCCTGTTGTGTAAATGACAACTCTGATGTCTTTACTGAACTCCAGACCCACATATCAACCGCTTGTTGCACACGTGACTGGAGCTGCCCTCCCAGTGCCTCAAACAAGCAGTGTGTTCCAAATGGACCCCCACACCTACTCATCCTCCTTACTTTCCTTATCTAAACTAATTGTGTCACCCTATCATGTGGAAAAGGGATTAGATTTGTTCTGTCACCCAAGGCAGATCTCAACTCAACATAAGGAAGAAAGAGCTCATGATTAAAACTGTCTGAAAGTGGAATGAACTGCTTCTGGAGATAGTAAATTTTATTCTTTGTCACTGGAGGTGTTACCAAAGAGGCTGGGCAGCCATTTGTCTGAGTGTTGCAGAGCGGGTTGAAGCTAAAGATCTGCTCAGAGGCTTTTAGTAGTTCCCAGTGTCCTCAGGATGAAGAGGAACAAACAAACATTTTAAACAAACATTTACGGGAACAAACATTTAAACATTCTCTTTAAATTGCTTTTAAAATCCTTTTAATAATGCTACGAAGTAGGCATTATTATTCTTATGTTTCAGGTGAGAAAACTGAGATTCCAGTTAGACAGCTAAGAAGTTCCAAAACTGGAATTTGAACCTGGCTCTGACTAGAGTGTGGCTCTCTCATCATTTCCCAAACTTGCTGATAGGAATCAGCTGGCATGCTAGTAAAAGTACAGATTCCCAGAGACTCCTCTTCTATCGATTTAGATTCACCAGGTTTGGGGAAATGTATGTTTTTAACAAGCAGTCATAATGCTTAGGAATGACCACTTGTTTGTCACAATAGACATTTATTTCTGTTTCACTTGGACAACTGAACATTACACTTACTTTAGCTCCTGCCACGTGGAAAGCAGTAAAGCACGGGCCTGAGAAATTGGGCGTGGTTGTGGCGGTAGATTCAAGGAAGCGGTAGACGTGGTTCCCGCCCTCCAGCAGCTTGCCATCCACACAGAAGATACTACGCAGCAGGTGGTTAAAGTGAAGGAACCCTTTACAGTGGGATTTCACCTCTAATTCTGTTTGCTGTTGTTTCCCCTTCTGACATGCTGCTCCTCCCTTCCCTTGCCCTGAATCTCTAGCCTCCTCTCGTGTGCATGGGGTTGCAAAGCTGTTTTGAAGCAAATAACACCCTCTTGCAGCTGCACCGAGGCTGTAGCAGGTGAAGCCTTAGGAAGCTGCAGCCGCACTAACCACAGGGGAGATGGGATTTGTGGAGCGGGGAGCAGGAGGAAGAAGGAAAGATAACAGTGTTTGGAAAATGAAACTTGGTTTTAAAGTCACTAGTGACTTAATGGAAAGGCCTTCCCCACCCTTCACCATACTATAGAAACATCTCTTAAATAGTATAGGCAGGGTGAACAGAGCCCCTCTTTCTGCCCAGTCTAGGGCCTTTGCTCTGCTGGTTAATTTGCCTTCCACACTAGAAAAGTCCACAAAATATGCCTCTCTTGAGCCTTTGGCTCAGGGTCAGGGTGATTAGATGTTTAACTCAGGCCATTCTGATGTGAAGGTAGTAAAAAGACACAGGGTAGGTTAGAGTTCCAGAGACCTCCAAGTTCTACACTTGTATTTAGTTTATTTATTTATTTCATGAATGAACAAAAGACCTTATCCTCCAAAGCTTGCCAAGAGGCTTGATAGTACATTTGTAGAAATAGCTTTTGAAAGTCTGTTCTGGCTGGCCTGGCTACATTCTTTGCAGTCACAGGACAGCATCAGGCATTTTGGGAGTCCTGGCCTTCTGGCTGGCCATCTGCCATCCCAGTTTTCTTCCCACTCTGGGAAGGAAGTCGTGCCCCATCTGTAGTCCTGATTCAAGAAACAATGTCAAAAAAAATGTCAGAAATATTGGCTTGGTCATCAAAGAAGGCTGGAAGGTGCTCCTTCTTCTTCACAAGCAGACATTAATTGTACACTGCTCTGTGCTTAGCCCAGGGTGGTGCTGGGGGAGCCCAACTTTGTCTTGCTCATTAGTGAGTTTCAGTAGTGTATTAAGATGCCAACGAGGTAATATTGGCAGGCTTCACTATCTGACAGAATTTGGGAGTGATGATAATCCGCATCTTAAAAAGCAACCACAATTTATGTAGTGTTCAGGGCTACCAGAGGGTGGGATAGTTTCCTGTATCAGTGATTCTGGAACTGCCTGTTGCTAGATCATATACAGACACCAGTCCTGGACTTGTAATCCCCTCAGCTGATCCAACAGGTGCTGTGAACCCTGAATATTCACACATTGTGGGTCTGTGAATGCCCCTCTAACTTCATAATTGCTCTCTAAGGCCTGAGACTCTGAGGTAGACTAAGGAGAAGAGTGC